CATATAGCTTCCAAGGAGCAGCTGGTGGATTTGAACTGCTGACCTTCTGGTTAGCCGCCGAGCTCTTAACCACTATGCCACCAGGGCTCCAATAGACACATAGACCAATGGAATAGAATGGATAACCCAGAAATAAAACCATCCACCTATAGACAGTTAATCTTCCACAAAGGGTTGAAATCCATTAAATGGGGAAGGTATAGTCTCTTTAACAAATGGTGCTGGCAAAACTGGATATCCATTTGCAGAAAAATGAAACAGTATCCATACCTCACACCATACACAAAAACTAACTCAAGATAGATCAAAGACGTAAATGTAAAACCTAAAACCATAAAGATCACAGATTTAAAAATGAGGGTAAACCTAGGAGCCCTAATTTACAGCATAAATAGGTTATCAAATATAACTTAAAAAGCACGAACAGCAGAAGATAAACTAGACGACTAGGATCTCCTGAAAATCAAACACTTATGCTAATCAAAACACTTTTCCAAAAGAGTAAAAAGAGAATTCACAGACTGGGAAAAAAAATGGCAATGACATATCTGACAAGGGTCTTATCTCTAAAATTTATAGAAAACTCCAGCAACTCAACGACAAAAAGACAAAAAACCCAATTAAAATGTGGGCAAAGGACATGAACAGACACTTCATCAAAGAAGACACCCAGGCATCCAACAAATACATGAAGAGATGCTCACGATCATTAGCCATTACAGAGATGCAAATCAAAACTACAGTGAGATACCATCTCACACCAGTAATAATGGCACTGATACTCTCCTGAGGTTCACCCTTCAGCCAGAGATTAGACAGGCCCATAAAACAAACAATAATACACATAGCTCAACCATGTATACAAGACTAATGTACACACCAGCCCAGGGACAAGGACGAGAAGGCAGGAGGAGGCAGGAAAGCTGGACGAATGGAAATAGGGAACCCAAGGTCAAGCAGGGAAGAGTGTTGATACATTGTGGGGTTGACAACCAATGTCAGAAAACAATATGTATATTAATTGTTGAATGAGAAACTAATTTGCTCTATAAACCTTCATCTGAAGCACAATTAAAAAAATACAACATTCTGTATACATTGATGGATTAATAATTACAGACAACTCTTCATGGCATCATACTTGCAGAAAGTAAAGCAGGAGATTTAGAAAAGCAAGATCCACGGAACCTACACTGCTCTGTAACTCTTCACCAAAAACGCAATAAAATATTATTAAAAAAAATAAATAATGGCACTAATAAAAAAACAGAAAACAACAAATGCTGGCAAGTCTGTGGGGAGATTGCAATTCTCATACACTGCTGGTGGGAATGTAAAATGGTACAACTACTACAGAATATGATATGGTGCTTCCTCAAAAAGTTAGAAATAGAAATACCATATGATCCATCAGTCCCACTCCTAGGTATATATCCTAAAGAAATAAGAGCTATGACATGAATAGACATATGCACGCCCATTGCAGCATTACTCACAATAGCAAAAAGATGGAAACAGCCTAAGTGTCTGTCAACAAATGAATGGATAAACAAACTGTGGTACATACATACGATGGAATGTTATGCAACATTAAAGAATAACAATGAATCCTCAAAACATCTCACAACATGGATGAACCTGGAGGATATTATGCTGAGTGAAATAAGTCAATCACAAAATGACAAATATTGTATGAGACCACTTTATAAAAACTCAGGAAAAGATTTTCACACAGACAGAAACTTTTTTTATGGTTACCAGGGATGGGGGTGGGAAACCACTAACTAGATAGTAGACATGTACTAATTTTGGTGAAGAGAGAGATAATACATGATATGGAGAAAGTAAGCACAATATAATCAAGGTAAAGGAGGGCACTGAAAGGTACGCCAGAGTAAAAGGCAAAAACGGTAAGTACTAATACATATACAATCCTACAACAACAGTAATAACAAACATAATGTACAAGTGGATATATAGGTAGATATGTAAGCTGAACGGGGTGGGAGGGCATATGGAAGTACACCCAATTACATATATATGCGTACATGCTGCAAATATATCCATGTATGCAATAGTGCACACAGGGAAACTTCTTAGCCATAACCATACACCTTCTGGGACTGAGATACTGGCTTGAGGGCTAGGAACCATAGTCCTAATGGATATCTAGGTCAATTGGCATATCATAATCCATATAGACAATGTTCTACATCCTACCTTGGTGAGTAATGACTGGGGTCTTAAAAGCTTGCAAGCAGCCATCTGAGATACAAAAATTGGTCTCTTCCTGTCTGAAGCAAAGAAGAGTGAAGAAAACCAAAAACTCAAGGAAACAATTGGTCCAAAGGACTAATGGACCACATGAACCACGGCCTCCACTAGCCTAACACAGAAGAATTAGACAGTGCCCAGCTGCCAGTACAGACTGCTCTGACTGGGACCATAGTAGTAGATTATGGACAGAGTGGGAGAGAAATGTACAACAAAATTCAAACTCCTAAATAAGACCAGACTTTCTGGTCTGATAGAGACTGGTTGAACCTCTAAGAATATGGCCCTTAGACACCTTTCAAACTCAACTGAAATCACTCCCAGAGATCACATTACAGCCATACAATAGACAGGCCTATAGAATGAACAATAATACCAGTGACGAATGTATACCTCAGAACAACAACTATACGAAACCTAAAAGGCAGCATTTGCCCAAAAGCAAAGTTCAGAATGATGGTGGGAGCAGGAAAGCTGGGCGAATGCACATGGGGAACCCAGGGAGGAAGGGGGGAGAGTGCTAACACGTTAAGGGGTTTGCAACCAATGTCATGAAAAGCAAGCTGTGTATAAATTGTTAAATGGGAAACTAATTTGCTCTGTAAACTTTCACCTAAACGATAAACCATTAAAAAAAAAAAAAAAAGAACTAAATTAGTCCCTAATTAAATATTTCATGCTAGTCTCTCACCATACATACTTATTTTTCTGTACTTTAATTCCTATTGTCTATGGGTTTTTATTTTATGGTTATCCAAATCCTTTCTGAAAGTAAAAATGATCTAACTTTCAAATGAAAGAGAAAATAAATGTAACACAGGACATGAAATAAAATGCATTGATTATATAAATGTGCTACAAGGTCACAGTCACCAAAGAAATGCATTTAAAGTCTTTTTTAAAAAAAGTAGTCATTGTTTTGCAACTGCCATGAATTCAGCAATTACGATCACTGATTTTATTATCTCTTTTAACTTTTCAGATAAAAATAAATATCTGAAATACAAGTTTTTAAAAAGTCTTTATTATTTGGATGGCTTCCAAATATCTATGTATTGAATGAAGTGAAATATTCCGAATACTAGTCAACTTTTTCAAACAAGTATCTGAATTTTAGGTGGGGGGAGAGGTGAGAGACAGGAACCTGGAATACCTTTAGTCCTTATTCCTTTCTTTCTCTGCAATCATTCTACTCTGTTGCAATTCCCAATGAAATCCTTTTATGATAAATAGCACAAGATATTTATTATGTCTTTTGGTATAGCATGTTGCTTTAGTGAATGCTGTTGGCAGTTAAATTTATAGACTACAGGATGGGGAAATGAAATCGTGTCTCTGTGTGACCTCTTTGAAGTGGATTCCAAGTGGAAAAGCATGTTCTGAACCTAGGAAGCAAAGGAGAGAACTGCTGTACTTACACAAACATCTTGTTCTGTCCTTCCAGTCTCTGAATATTTTTGCGTATTGCTTTGTTTTAGTGTTTGGGAATTGAAATGTTTGAAGTAGGGAGTTGTGAGTAGTGGTGAAGTGTATTTGTGATTTAATTGAAAGAAGAATTGTGCATAACTTAGTTGTAGTTTTCCTTCAGTTCTCTTTTTCCTGTCTACAATAACTCAGTGTGTTTAAGATATTTATACCTGGACAAAAAATCAACTTGTTTGACAGCTCAAAATCTCACAGTCAATAAAATATAGCAAACAGTTGCCAAAGCTGTACAATTACTCAATACTATATCTACACATGCCAAAACAGCTACATGGAAAGTTAAATATTTAATCAATTGGTTACTTTTCTACCTATATACACACAAACACCAATACAAACAACACAGACTTTTCAAATATCCATCCACATGGTGGACCTCATATAATCAAACTTTTCATTTTATACTCAAAGGTTAAGTATATGGGAGATATCATTTTTTATTAAGGGATTATTTAAGTAAGAGTTTTAATTGCCAGTGCTTCCTGATACTACTATAAGAACAGTGATCAAAAGAGGGAAAATGTGGAACAGAATTTCAAATTTTCATGAAGTCCAGACTTTCTGGAGCCAATGAAGCTAGATGAACCCCTGAAACTATTTCCCTTAAACCTTAAACCAAAAATATCCCTTGAAGTCTTCTTTAAACAAAACAAAAAAATAGTTCAGCTTAATTAGTAAAGAATGTCTGCTTTGTGTATTGTGCTCTTTTAAAGAAGTATCTAAACCAAAAACCAAACCCGTTGCCTACAGCACCTAACACCATGAACTTAGTGCTGAGTGTACATGGTAGGTATCTAATGGATGCTTGGCAAACAGCATCATGGTAGTGTGGGATGGACCAACAGCCATGTATAGGTGTGCCCTGGACAGGCGTGCAGTGAGGCCACAGCAGGTAAGAGAAGGAGAAGGAGGGAGAAGGAAGGATAGATATCTAGGGTAGATAAACTGGGCTTCTCTTGCCCAGGGGCACCCTTTCTGAGAGAGCTGACCAGGGTCAGGGGTACAGTCAGAAGCCAGGGGAGTAAGGCATGTGAGCCAGCCCATTTCTGGATGTGGCTGTGATCTTGGCCTCAAATGTAACCCTTGAGCCACCAGGCCACAATCCATGTGGTCACCAATAGGGCATTGCCATACTGAGCAACACAGTCAGAACAAGGGCCTGTCTTCTCCTGGTGGAGGAGGGAGTGCCCTGAGCATGGGAGCTCTTTCATGAAGGATGGAGGAGTTTCCAGAAGACATACCCATCACTCCAGCGCCCTCTCCATTCGGTTTTGCCCCAGGGGTTCCACAGGCAGATGATTTCTTCCCAGCCCCTCCTGTATTGAATCTGGAAAAAAAACAACAGAAAAGAAAACAGTCACTGCTCCCCAGCAGAAGTCAGCAGAAAGATGGGACACGAATGCAGCTTCTTTTACCACCAAGGACTAATTAAACTTCTGACCTCATTTGGCTGCAGCCAGGAAAGAAATGGAAAGAGAAAAAAATCAACGTCTTACACACACACACACACACACACCCCATCACCTACTCCCTGATACCAAGGTACCGAGGATGGCGCATTTGCTCCTACAAACCACTTAGGCCAGAGGGCAGGACTGTAAAAAAGTTACAACAAAACGACAGCAAACCCTTGAGGCTGTTACTGGGAACAAGGACCCTCAGCCTGGTGAGAGGAGTTAAAGAATGATCGAGTTGCAGCTGCAATATTGATCTGTGCTAGTGTTGTCTGGGGAGACAGAGGCCTGGCTGGGTGAGGGAAGGAGACAAACTTGTAAAGATTCTAGGTCACAGGGGGCTGATAAAGCCCTGAATGGGTGTCACCTATGGAGAAGAAAACCAGTTGAAAAGCAGGGCTGGGAGCCAGGTGCCTGCTAAGTGCTTTACATGTTCAATCCCCTGAGGTAGATTCTCACATAAACCTTGCCCTGCAGAGGAAGAAACTGAGCATAAGAGAGGTTAAGCAACTTTCCTAAAGCCACAAAGTAAGAGGTAGAGGCAGAATTCTGAACCCAGCCACTGTCAGTCCCAAAGCCCGTGCTCCTAATTTTGGTATTAGGAGGGGACAAAGGTTACGGCTGCTCCAGGGCATGGCCCATTCTTGAATGTGGCTGTGACCTTGGCCTCGAATGTAACCCCTGAGGGAGCTGGTCAACCCTTCCATATAATCACCATGAGGGCACTGCCAAATAGGTGTGACACAACTGAACATGGGCCACAGATCTTGACTTGGATGAAGTACCTCTCTGCTTTTCCTTGTCTGCCTCTGTCTCTGGCCAGCCCTGCAGTGGAAGATGCTTTGGTTTTCAGCGCTGCCCTGGGAGGCTCCCTGCACAAGCTCAGCCTTCCTACTGCTCTCGGCCCCACCCCTAGCCAGCATGCATACAGTCAACAGCACCTCACAGAGCCCATGGAACAGGGAAGTGAGAAATGGTCACCTGGTGGCCCGAAGAGCTTACTAAGTGCCTACTGGACAGTCAGGGGCTGGCTCAGACGAGCACATGGGAGAAGAGCGGCTGATGATTCAACGGGGCTGAGAACAGGGCTAAATGCAGATAAACACCCCCTTGCCCGGGGTACTTCCAACCCAGCTAGGTACATAATAAAAAATGCCAGTTTCATTTATCCTCCCATCTGTGTCCCGCTGGAGGGAGGATGAATAGATTAAAAAGCACACTGCATTTATGGGCTGGTATAATCTTAGACTTGTGGTTCAGAGTTATAGCCACTTGTCTCTGGAGGAAGAATCTTTACCCAAGTCAAATTCTTGGCCCTTATTTGACTGTGTTGCTCCTTTTGACAGTTCCCTATTGGTGACCATATGGGCCTTGGCCAGGTATCTCAGGGGTTACATTCAAAGCCAAGGTCACAGTCACATCCAAGAATGGGCTGGCTTAGGTGCCTCACTCCCCTGGCCCTGACCCTGGTCAGCTTTCTCAGGAAGGGTGCCCCTGGGCAAGAGTGGGCTCAGGCTATCTACTCTAGAAAATGCTCCACCCAGTGTATTCTCTTCAGTGCTAGTTCCACAGGCCGTTAATAGTCCTAGAAAAAATGATTTCATGGCCAATTTTAGATTAAAACCAAGTTGTACTTGTGTCTTTAATACAGAACCTTTAAAATACTAATGTACATTACGACTCTCCCAGAAGGACATATGGTACGCAGCCTTTTCCAAACAATTTGGAAACCTGTCTTCACAGAGGATCTTACCAGGCTAATGCTCCTTAGAACACAAGCTGGGAAGGGTCAGAGGCCACAGAATGGCAGGGCAGAATGGACCATACAAGTCTTGACCCCCTGCTGTCATAGGCCAGGGACGCTGTTAGACCGCTCAGTGTACTCTGTTCTCACGATTATAAAAACAATTTAAATGTTTGGGTGTGTAAGTGCAATCATTAGAAGCCCAAACCACAGCTGAGCCCGCTCTCTGACTCCTGTTGTTGTTGTTGTTAGGTGCCGTCGAATCGGTTCCGACCCATAGCAACCCTATGTACAACAGAACGAAACTCTACCCGGTCCTGCGCCATCCTCACAATCATTGTTATGCTTCAGCCCATTGTTGCAGCCACTGTGTCAATCCATCTTGTTGAATGTCTTCCTCTTTTTTGCTGATCCTCTACTTTACCAAGCATGATGTTCTTCTCCAGGGACTGGTCCCTTCTGATAACATGTCCAAAGTATGTAGACATAGTCTCGCCATCCTTGCTTCTAAGGAGCATTCTGGCTGTACTTCTTCCAAGACAGATTTGTTGGTTCTTTTGGCAGTCCATGTATATTCAATATTCTTTGCCAACACCATAATTCAAAGGTGTCAATTCTTCTTCAGTCTTCCTTACTCATCGTCCAGCTTTCACACGCATTGAGTTCACCTCAAATTCTCTCTGGCCTAGGTCCCTAGACAGCTATCCTATAACTGGAAGGTCACTGCCATGCCCATGCCCAGCCTCTGTGGAGACTCCCATTCCTTGGCCATCAGTACCTCTGCATGCACAAGTCCCTTCTCCCCTGTGTTCACAGGAGAAACAGGATGTCTCAATGTATAAAAAGGGTCTTGTTAAGGGATGGCAAAATACCTAGTGCAGGTAACACAACTCTCTCATTCTACAGCCAACACAGATATCACTGATCACAGCTCTTTTCCCCTAAATCCAGAAGCATTGCCAACTGGTCAGAGTTGGCACATGAGGTAAAACCAATTTTCTGTCCCTAGACTTATCCGCATCTGGGACAGGAGAGCTGTGGGAAGCAGAGTATCCATACGTGGCCAAGTGTGGTGGTGATACTGGCTGTCCCCATTGAGAATTCAGGAGAGGGCTTAGGAAGGTGAGGCAGAGGGGATCCAAATGAAGGGAGTCTGGAGCCGCTGTGGCTGGGAACTCTTCTGGCCTGGGTTTATCCAGAAGCTCTTCCTTGCTTGTGGGACATGTCTTTTGAGTTTCTCACGTATGTTCTATAATGGGGCATAGTAATGTCATCCTCATAGGCCAAGGTCAAATCCATTCATTCACTCATGCAAGTGCACTCATCCACCAAGGCAATACATGTTTACTAGGTGCCTACTATCCTAGACCCTGGCAGAGGAAGCATTTTGTAGCTGACTTTTTTAGGGAGACAGACAGTAGACAGGAGATACTGACCTCATTTTGTGGATTGGAACACTCACCAAAGCACAAAACAATGGAGCAACTGGTCTTAGGTCAACAGACAGGAGAGGGAGATTGATATACAGAGAGGGCAAGTCTGAGAAGGCACATGAGAGAAAGCATGCTGGAATATAACCCGAAACTCTGCATTCCTGAGCCCACAAATACCTGTGAAAAATGTGCCCTGGAATTTTGAACATGTTTCTTAGGCCTTAGAATATATTATTAGACTTTAAGAGTTGTGGGAATGAGAGAGATGGGGGAACATTTGCAGGAAATCATCACAAGACTAGGAAACACTATCACCGCACAGCACCCTGTTAAGCACAGATGGAGCAGAGGAGCCATGGAGTCTGCCCAGGCAGGTCATTAAATAGCTGTGTAACCTCACAAAAGACACTTACCCTGTCAGGCCTCCGCGTCTTCATCGTTGAATGGAGGAGCCTGGGGTTTAGTAATGTTTTCCCAATTGAATTACGTTGCAGACAGTAATTGCCTGCGTTTGTCCACCAAAGACAGTTCTTAGATCAAGGGAAAGACTGCTATCTATCCCCAGTAGCTGTCCTCCCCTTTTCTTTTTTTTTTTTCATTTTAAGCAAGAAGTTTATTTAAATAACAAGACACTTGACTTAAAGGGAAAACTATCTAGGATTCGTTTCTTTTAGAGTAATTTATCTCTACTTAAAGGCAGATTGTGCTACATGTAACAGCTACGTACAAAAAAGTTATAAAATTGTCCTTGGTTTTACAATGATAAATGAAAAAAAATTAAAATTCTCCAGTCAAACAAGGTATGCAAGGATTTTTTATGTCATTTTTTGTTAAACAGTTGAGAGCAAAATAACTTATTGGAATATAAAGATAGCTGAATGAGCATGCCACTAATGGAGAAAGGGGGTATTTTCACAGGACCAGTATTTTTCCCCATACCATCTCCACTTGATGTTGATCAAAACATACCATTGGCCATTTAGTAAAAAAAAAAAAAGAAACGCAATATGCTTGTGCACATACACCAGTTACTTTACGTACAATAAAGGAATGGGGAAGGGGACAATGAAAGAATAGAAAACTATACTGTAGTAGTCAGGATGTGGTAGAACCAAATTGTGGTTTTCTAACTAAGACTATATTCTTGGTCTGTAGGAACGGAGTTCTGGAGTAAAGTAGCAGGCTCCCTTTTTAGAAGACACCCCTGTCTGCTGCTGAAACACATCAATTGTATTTTCATCCTCTATTTCCAACTGTGCAGGTGTGTCTGTTTCATTCATTGGCTGCCCGTCAAATCGGAATCTGATCTGCCTCATTGACAAACCCTGCCGTTCACAATAGGCTTTCATTAGCTTACTAAGTGGTGTATGCCTCTTAAACTGCACCACAGAACCATCCTGCCCTGTCACCTTCAAATTAATATGATCATTGTTCTCAATCTTGACTCCTTCCTTGGGTTTTTCATTGGCCATGGCGCGCACCGGAGTGTCCTCAGCTGCCCCGCTTCATGAAAGAGGTACCAGGTCCGCACTGAACAAGCACACAAGCAGCACCAGGAGCCTGTCCTCCCTTTTTCCATGGAATGAAGTTTTGCTGGAAATATGGCAGCCCAGATATACAGTATATTTCCCAGCTTCCCTTGTGCCTTGGTGTGGCCATGTGACTAAGCTCTGACAAATGGGATATAAGTGGAAGTGATGCATGCCATTTCTGATTCATACTTTTCTATGGATGGAAGATGTTCCCCTGGCCTCGCACCTCCCCTGGCTAGGAGATGAGAGAACAGCTGCCTTGGACTTACAAGGCAAGCCCCATGTTGAAGATGCATAGCAACCTACCAGCCCTAGAGTCATCTGCTTACACAGGGGAGAAGTGAACTTCATCTTGGTTAAGCCCCTATCCTTTGGTGTGTCTTCATTATAGCGGTGTGTCTTGTACTTAATGAATAAAGGAGCCCTGGTGGCACAGTGGTTAAGGGCTATGGCTGCTAACCAAAAGGTCGACAGCCCACCAGCTGCTCCTCGGAAACTCTAGGGGGCAGTTCTACTCTGTCCTTGTCTTAGTTATCTAGTGTTGCTGTAACAGAAATACTGCACGTGGATGGTGTTAACAAAGAGAAATTTTTTTTCTCTCACAGTCTAGTAAGCTATAAGTCGAAATTCAGGGCAACATCTCCAGGGGAAGGCTCTCTTTCTCTGTCAGCTCTGGAGGAAGGTCCTTGTCATCAATATTCCCTTGGTCTAGCAGGTTCTCTGAGCAGGAACCTCAGGTCCAAAGGACAAGGTCTGCTTCTAGGGCTGCTGTCTTGGTGATATGAGGTCCCCCACCTCTCTGCTCACTTCCCTTTCCTTTTATCTCTTGTAAGATAAAAGGCAGTGCAGGCCACACCCCAGGAAAACTCCCTTTATCTTGGATCAGGGATTTGACCTTAGTAAAGGTGTTACATCCCACCCTAATCCTCTTTAACATAATCTAATCTTGCCTCATTAACCACAGGCAGAGATTAGGATTAGGTTAGATTAGGCACATAGGAAAATTACAATCACAAAATGGAGGACAACCACACAATACTAGGAATCATGGCCTAATCAAGTTGACACATATTTTTGGGGGAACAATTCCGTCCACGACAGTCCTGTAGGGTTGCTATGAGTTGGAATGGACTCCATGGCAACGTTAATAAATAAAACCTCCTTCGGGGCAAGGCCTCTCCCAGAGTCAATGGAGTAGTTCATTCTGCTTTCTTTTTGGGCTAATCCCTCAGTCTAGCCAGACACTTGCCAGACCTGTGTGAGATTAGTTCAAGGAAAGCAAGATCTCTGGTGGGTACTTGGGGGAGGAGGGTACTGGAGCGAAAACTTCTGGATGCACCAAAGGAATTGAAGCTCTCTCCACGTGGGTTTCAAGGTGGGGGAAAGGGTGATAAATACTCATCTCAGCTTCTTTGTGGACTAGCTGTAGGCATTTGATTCTGACCCCTGTTTAGAGGGGCCCAGGCCATGGGGGGGAAGTCAGGCCTGCCTTACCTGCCCGGCCCCTGTCACTGTGTAGGCATGACGGCTCACCAGGCCATTCCTCATCATACTGTCTTTGCCTGTTGGCTGCAAAGGAGAAAAGCAGATCATGCATTAAACTTCAGAGAAATGGAAAAGCACAGTCCAATCAGCAGCAGAGCCATGGCTGGATGAAACTCGCCCCACTGACTCACTTTGCACTGACAAAGTGATGCGGAGTTTGTAGGCTGACTGGGGGTTGAGGCACTATATATTTCATGCACCAGGAAACTACCCCAATGAAGATAAAACCACACAAAGCTCTGAAAACTGGAGCTGCTTGATCCTCTAATCACTTGTCATCAATGAGATACAGCACAAAATGTGTCTGTTGGGTCTTTTGCAAGAGCCAAGAGCCCCCCCCCCCCACACACACACATTGTGCTGTGAGTAATGGGGGTTTAAAGCACATCTTAGTTTTCTGGTGGCATTTTGGATGAGGGATGTGTGACTCAAAGCTACATATTTGAAGAGTGAAGGAAGCATCACTGCGGATAGGGAGCCAGCTGTCTCGGAACAGACTCAAATAATTTGGAGGGTCATCTAAGCTTCCCTAAGGGGACACATCACCCTTGGGTGCCGCCTGTAGAGCCAGTGAGAATCAGAGGACTCAAGGACAGGCTCACTGTATGCTCAAGGCCAAGTGCGAAGGAGCTAAATGCAGTGAGAACCTTTACTCTCCCAGTGGACAGTAAAGGCCCCTGGTCACTCTGGATCCTACAGCTCCAGGTCACGGAGAAGCAGTAGACAAAGCTTTGGAGTTTACAGCAGCATTTAAATCCTTGCTCTGCCACTTACTGGCTGTGTGATTGACAGCATTTTACTTAGCCTTACACAGCCCATTTCCTCTTTGGCAAAATGAATTTTGCCAGCCGTCTCAAAGGGATAGCTATTGTAGGGATTCAGTGAGTCCACGTAGGTAAAGCATACAGTAAGTGCTCCATAGTGGCTTCTTTGCCCTTATCCTCACTAGCTGAATGGGGCCTTGACTGAATACCCCTGTGTGAGGAAAGGCTCTAAGCAGTGCATAGGGATTCCTGTCTTCTCCTGGAGGGCCCCGCACTTACCCCCACTGGAGTGGTGCAGGCCATCAGGCAGCCAGCCTGGACAGCCTTCTTCACCACCAGCACCAGGTTGGAAGAGGAAGAGTACAGGTCAGTGTTGGTGACCACCCCTCCCGTGAGGTCCACCAAGGCATCAGGGAGATAGCCACCGTGCAGGTGGAAATAGGATCCGTGCAGCCTGGCAGTGGGAAAGTCGGGTCAACCCTTGGTGCCTTCAATGAGATGCTCTTGGAGGGGAGAAGGCTGCCTGAACTCTGCATCGTTCCCAGGGGAAGGGCTGCCTGGTCCACACCTGTCCCAGGTCTCCACCTCCCATTTTTAAGGATGGAGAGTCTACCTATGCCACCAGTCCAGGGGCTCACACTGTCCTTACCACCTTCCTCCCCCTGTCCCCAGGCCTGAACAGCTCGGTTGGCAATCTTGTGTAGAGGTTAGGGGTGAAGTTGCTGGAGCACAGCCCAGGATGGACCCCAACCTTACTGCATATTTAGTTCTTTGACCTTGGCCAAGTTACTTAGCCTTGTGAGGCTGTAGGGGTTATAGTGTCTGGCACATGGCGAGCCTTAATAAATATTAGATATGATGATGATCTGCTTTCTGTTCAGTTTAACAATAGTTTTAAGTACAGCAAATGCCAGAACCTGTGTAAGACAGAAACCCATCAGAGAAGAAAAATTCAAATATTTTCCATTGATAGAGAGCAAAAGAAAAGTGGTAAGACTGCACCCTGTCAAAGGTGGAAAACTTGTGAGACCCAGAAAAAAAAGGCAGTCCTATTGAGTTCCGCTTCTCACAAATTTCACTGTACTTACTTGTATGCCAGGCACAGTGCTAGGCTCTGCGAGTTTAAACATAAACAAAACTCCCTTCCCACCCTCAGTAAGCTCACGGTCAATAGCCCTGACGCCAGTGTGGCCAAACGCAGCTTCTGTACTCTGTGTGCAAACCTCCAGCCAGGATTTACAGCCTGTTCACATCTTAGAATTAATCCATTCATCCCCAAAATTTTTAGGCAGGTATTTTAACTTTACTGAAGGTAACCTAGGAGAGGGTGAGTGTTATGTGACATACCCCAAAGCCCTTCCCCTCTCTGGCCCTCAACCTTTCCTCTAAAAGGTGAGGTTGACTGGACCAGCTCTGAGGGCCACCTGGACACTCCTTTCCCACCATGTTTCCACTTCTGCCATTCTCTCCTCCTGGAAACCACCCAGTACTCAAGACAGCTCACCTCAGCAAATATGTATCAAGCAGCCACTATACACAGGACACCACCACAAGCGTAAGTGTAAGGATGGCTTAGAAAATCTTTGCTAAATAAAGCTAAGGATACACAGAACAAAGGGTCAATTCTGCAGAAACTACCATGTAACAGACTTGTCTCACCTTGCTATAAAACAGGCTCTAAATCTTACCTTTCTGTCTCTCCCTATCTCTGACCAAGGGTCATGACTGGTACTAGACTGTTATCTCTGGGGAGCTTGCTTGTCATTGTTTTTGTTAGGTGCCATAGAGTCAGCTCTGACTCATAGCAACCTTGTGTACAACAGAACAAAACACTGCCGGGTCCTGCACCACCCTCCCAATCGTTGTTATGCTTGAGCCCATTGTTGCAGCCACTGTGTCAATCCATCTCGCTGAGGGTCTTCTTCTTTTTTGCTGACCCTCTACTTTACCAAGCATGAAGTCCTTTTGATAACATGTCCAAAGTAAGCAAGACAAAGTCTCGCCATCCTTGCTTCTAAGGAGCATCCTGGCTGTATTTCTTCTGAGACAGATTTGTTCGTTCTTCTGGCAGTCCATGGTATGTTCAGTACTCTTTGCCAACATGGAGAACTTGCTTAGTCAACTGCAAAGCCTCCCTTTGATCATGATTATGCCCAGTTGGTCTAAATGCCTGACTCTTGATTGCCCACATGTATTCTGGCTCCTGCTCCTAAATTGAGAGTTTTGTGCTTAGGGTACTGGAAGTTCGCAGGGTCTGGAGTTCTGGAACTCATTGCAGAGCACAGAGGTGTGATGTGACCTCCTGCTTACTCCAACAACCCTTCCTGGCAGTACACTCAGGGGCTCTCCCTGACCTCACACAGGGCTGCACCAGATCCGCTCCAGAGGCGCACCTGTTGGGCTCTGTCCCCGTCACTTCAGGCCCGTTGGACTGCCCCATTGTCTTTGGCCTTGCCTCATGTCTTACATCCCACACATTCTGTAGTCATTATAGAGCCACCCAACAACTGGCAGGTTGCCCCTTCACTGCAACCTGCAGACCCTTCCTCGGTGTCTCCCCACAGCCTTCTCACTGCCCACAAGGCCTGTCCTGGTGCAGTGGGGGTATTTTGACAAGGAGCCATCTCTCTGCTTTACAAACATGAGCTCACAAATCCCGCCAGTGCTTCAGGAATACAGCAACTATTCTTAGCCCCTTTGCTGACAGGAAATAGAAAGGAATAAGATAGAGGGAACTGTGTTTGCCACACCTATAACTACTGCTTGTCACCTGAACTCAGGAATTCCAAGACAGCTTTTCCACGTCCCTCTGCTTCAGCCTCATTTTGGGGAAATGTCTCTCTGTTCAGCATGAGGTGAAGGAGGAAAGAATTCAGATGTCTAAATCAGAGCCAGAAAGGATGCTGAAACGCTGCAATTCTTGACTGCAGAGGTTCTATAAAGGATTATGTGCAGCCCAGATCTTGTCTCCTCAATCTCCTCTCTGTTTTATGACCTCTGGATTTTCCCCACTTTTGACTGGATCTGACCAATGCATTTCCAGACTTCCCAGCTGCCAAGATAAGTGCAAGTTCAGAGTCCACATGTTCACTCAGCTGTTGCCTATACCCTTGGGGGTAGGAAGGTGCTCTCCATATGGATGGGCTCTCCACATTTGTCCTGTAGCCCCATGGACCAGCCACTGAGCTCCAAAGGAAGCAAAGAGCCCAGTCCTTTTCCTCCAGGACTGACAGTATCAAGGGATGGTGAAAAGCACCTGACAGGAGGAACAGTTCTTGCCCCAGCCTGGCCTCCAGCTCTGTGTGACCTTAGGCAAGTCACGTCACCTCTCTGGGCCTCAGTTTCACATCTTTCAGGAAGATGGTAGGGTTTGATGCAGACAGAATTTCCTTCCAGCTCTGAAGTGCTTTAATTCTCTTTGGTTCTCCCCTGCACTCTGTAACTTCCTTCTCTGGATGGGGGGGAGAGGGGGAAGGGGAGATTTTAAATAGCTTAATTGTTTGAAATATTTTTTCCTCCACTAGGTTCCCTTATGCTTGCTGAAAGTGAAGAGGACTTGAAGCACTTACTGGTGAAGATCAAAGACCACAGTCTTTAGTATGGATTATACCTCAACACAAAGAAAGCAAAAATCCTCACAACTGGAACAATAAGCAACATCATGATAGAGAAAAGATTGAAGTTATTAAGGATTTCATTTTACTTGGATCCACGATCAACACCCATGGAAGCAGCAGTCAGGAAATCAAAAGATGCATTCCATTGGGCAAATCTGCTGCAAAAGACCTCTTTAAAGTGTTGAAAAGCAAAGATGTCACCCTGAAGACTAAGCTGTGCCTGATCCAAGCGATGGTGTTTTCAATTGCCTCATAGGCATGCGAAAGCTGGACGATGAATAAGGAAGACTAAAGAAGGATTGACGCCTTTGAATTGTGGTGTTGGTGAAGAATATTGAACATACCATGGACTGCCAAAAGAACAAACAAATCTGTCTTGGAAGAAGTACAACCAGAACGCTCCTTAGAAGGAAGGATGGCGAGACTATGTTTCACTTACTTTAGACATGTTGTCAGGAGGGATCAGTCCCTGGAGAAGGACATCATGCTTGGTAAAGTAGAGGGTCAACAAAAAAGAGGAAGACCCTCAACAGCACGGATTGACACAGCGGCTGCGACAATGGGCTCAGGCGTAACATCGATTGTGAGCATGGCCCAGGAGTGGGCAGTGTTTCGTTCTGTGGTGCACAGGGTTGCTATGAGTCAGAACTGACTTGACAGCACCTAATAACAACAACAGATTCCCTTAGGGGGTGGAATGTGGATTCTGAGTCCACTTTCCCATTTCTTTTCAGGCCAAATGATTGCTTTAAGTCAGCTGTTAACAAAATGGGGTTGTAAGCTTTCTAATACCAAGTGAATTGCCAAGCTATTCCCTTCTACATAAGGAAACAACGAGGTCCTGAAGTGGTGAGGGCTGAATCCATACAGGAAAAACAATGGTAGTATTTGTGTAAGTACCTTAGTCTCTGGGCTTCATTCTCAAATACTAATGAACAGCTCTTCTTGACACTGGATATGAGCAACAACTTCAGTTTTTCACAAGTTAGCTCAGAAGAAAGTATGGGAGAAAGAGGTCTTGAGACACCTCACTGTTTAGATTGTGACCTCCAGAAGGACAGAGTCAGGTCCTTGGGTGGTACAAATGGTTTGCACTAGACTGCTAACCTAAAGGTTGGTGGTTTGAACCCACCCGTTGGCACTGTGGAAAAAAGACCTGAAGATCTGCTTCTGCAAAGATTACAGCCAAGAAAACCCTATGTAGCAGTTCTACTCTGTAACACATGGGGTTGCCATGAGTCAGAATCAACTTGACGGCAACGGTTAAGGGCCCAGGACTAGACTCAGCAGGGGCCACTGTTTGCTAAGTGATGTCCACTACTAAGGTGACTAAAGACCTGCAGCAGATCCAGGTTAGCTACTACACCAGCCATCACAACACTACTCAGAGCCTATCTGTGAAATGAGGAGTTGGTTAGAATTGTCTCTGGGAAACCTTCTGACTTGATGACACTCTCCACTGCTCATTTTCTCTTCCAGGGTGTGGTCCTCTGTCCTTTCATCTCCTGGCATTAATTTCTAGCTCTAATATGTCCCTCACAGTGTCTGCCTCAAACACAGCCCTTTCTGAGGGAAAATGGTCTCCCACAGCTCCTGCTGTCAGGGAGGGCAGCCCAGGCAGCCATGTTTATAGCCACTTGACTCAGGTCACAGCTGACTGGACCAATGGGAGAATTAGGATTGGATAACGAGCAGAGAATTGGGCAAAGGGTAGCAGAAGCTAAAGCTACAGGGATTCATAGAAAGAGGCCATTAAGATAAGCTGAAGAGTCAAGAGAGTCAAGAGAAAGTCAGATTTCTGAGGAAGATGATGTTAGAAAGAGGCAGAAAAAAGATGTAGAGCAAGAAGCTACCTGGTGGCAAGAAGAACAGCAGATGGTCATAGAGCAAAGCAGAGTGCAGCCCAGAAATGGTAGTGGCAAAACAAATGCTAGGTCCTTTCTCCAGTTTCCTTCTCCCTGAGATCGGCCTTATTAGGACCCTTAATCTCGGACTTCTGCGAGATTCCATCTCTTCTTTGCCCTATGCGCATCTATGCTTTTTCTTTTCCATACTATCATCAATGCAAGGTCCTGTTCTTGTTTTTAATTTCATTTCACAAGTTTATTTATTTAATTCTTTTTATCCCCACTCTCATTTCCCTTGAGATGGATTGACACATTGGCTGCAACAATGGGCTTAAGCATAGCAATGATCATGAGGATGGCATAGAACCGGGCAGTGTTTCGTTCTGCTGTACATAGGGTCGCTATGAGTTGGAACAAACTAGACAGCACCTAACAACATCTCATTTCCCTCTGCCCACAGACAACCATTGCAGGGTGTTTAATGTGCATTGTTTTGTTTGTATGTGTTCTTGCAAAATGAGCATTGCAGTGCATGTAGTTCCCATTTACATAAATAATTTTGTGTTTTATTTCTTAGTGTTCCAGACTCCATTCACTCAGCAGCCTGCCTCTGAGGACCACCCACAGTGCTGTGTGTAGATCTGATCTGTGGCATCTGACTGCTGTGCGGTGCTCCATGGAGGGCGGCCACCCCATCTTACCTGCCTGCCCAGTGATGGGCACTCAATGCACCACCATGGTACTGCCATGTACATCCTCAGACACATCCTCTGGGGCCCTGCATGGGAATCCCTGTGGGAGTTATAGCCAGGAGTGTCCTTGCTGGGTCTGAGGTATAAATATCATTAACTTGACTAAGTATTATCAGATTGCCCTCCAGAATGGCTTCATCAGCCTATACTCCACCAGAACTACTTGAGGATTCCTAGATCCCACATCCTAGCCAACACTTGGCTTTACCAGCTTTCTAACTTTTGCAGTCTGATAGGGGTAAAGTGATGTCTCATCACTATTTTTATTTGCAGTCCTCTGATTATGTATTGGAGCTTCTTTTCATAACCTGTGTGTACCCTATGGAAGCACTAGCTTCCACACATACACATATGCACATGTATGCACATATACTCTTGCACACACTCACTTGAGCCAGCTGAGAGTGTCTCTGTCCCAGTGCCAAGCACAGTGCTTGGCATACAGTTAAATGCTCAGCAAACATCTGTTGAATAAAAGCAACCGAAAGAGTCTAAGTGAAGTATGCGAATCAGGTATTTACAAGGTCTTGTCAGCACCAGAAGGTGGTCTCTGAATTGTGGTGTTTTGACCATATGATAAAGAGCAACTTCAACTCCTGCCCCTGTCCCCACACATAAATGCCATCTTACAGCAGCCACACCAGGCACCCAAATGCTTGGACCTCAGCCTAAACTGTCCTGCCCCTAGGCCTTTTCTAGAACCGTGCTCATTGCTGGGAATGACTCTCACCCTCATAGCTTCTCTCCTCTTGCTGAAATTCTACTCACCATTCAAGGCCTCCATCAAATGCCATCTCCTCTCTAGAGCTTCAGAAAGTCAGGATCATTTGCTGACTCCTCTGCTCTCTCATCAGACTTTGATCATGATATTATATATCATTTGGGCCTTTATACCAGCCTTTGCGATCATACCACTGTCAGTGCAAATCTCTGTCCTGCCCTGCCCTGCTCACCCCTCACTGCATACCTCTGAGTCCCTCCTGATGGCCCCCACGCAGGGCCTTGCACATGGTGATTGTTTAGGGAGGCTGCCCAGCCAGGCGGCAAAAGCCCTGGTGTTCCTGGGAACATTGCTTGTATTCAACAGAGCTGCCAAAAGCCCTGGGGCCAGCTGGCAAGGAGCTTCTGTGAGGGCAAGAGGCCGGGGAGATTAGGCGCTGGGGAGGGCCAGGCCCGTCCTTACTTGGCGTAGGCTTTCTCCAGCAGGCAGGGCCAGAACTCATTGTTGTCTCTGCGAGGATGTACGAAGAGGTACTGCTGGTGCAGGACAGGCAGGCGGTCATCGACTACCACATCCACACATTGTCCACACTGCCAGAACTGGAAGAGAGGTGAGCACATGCCTTAGTAGAGTAGGGGCAAGAGGGGGGCCTGGAACATGTCCCCCGCCAAGCTAAAAGATTACCACAATTACCATATGACCTCCCCAGTGTAACAACTAACTCTTTCCAGAACATAATCCCAGCATAGCTTGCTGGGCAGGGGATGGACATGTCAGCTCAATGGGCAGATGGAGAAAATGAGCCACAGACCAAGGTAATGAAGGAAAATATAGGCAGGGAGAAAGGAGATTTGGGTTCTAGTTTGACTTTGCTACTAACTATAGCCTCACTTTGACAAGTCCTGGCTCCTTTGTGAGCTTTAAAGACATGGAATCTGTGTGAGACTCTCCAGTTACATCTTGTACATTAAATGGCAGGAGGGGGAGTGTATGCTGGATAACAAAGGAGACTGGAAATAAGGGGTGTCGATTGGGGCCAGGGGAGCCCACCAGGGGCTGAGGGCTGAAGGGAGGAGGCAGGATTTAAACAGCTGGCAAGGAGATAGGGAAAGCATTCCAGAGAGGAGAGACAGCGTGGGGAAAGGCCTGGAGGCAGAATGACATGAAGGCTCAGGAGGAGGAGCAGTTACAGCCTCGCTCCCCTCCCAGCAAGCTGGCCCTGCCCTGAGGGCAGCAGAAGAGAAACGGGCTGACTCTGTTACTGCTAGGAGCACAAATGAACCAGGTGTTCCTCTCCAAAACAGGCTGTTTAATTTTCAGCATTCAACTCTAAATGATTCACTTGGGGACATCGCCAAATTAGGAATACTCGTACCAGAGCCAGCCCTTTGGAGTTTCTCTGCTGCTCTCTCCTGTGCTGGAGGAGCAGCAGCACTGCCAGCTGCAGGCCTGAGCCTTGATGAAGGCAGACCTCCACCAAGTGGGCTTGGAGCAAAGCTGAGTGGATGTGATCAATCATCTGCTCAGCAGTGACAGGAAGCTGTCCACACAGCCTTTCCCACAGCTGGGTGTCCCAGATGTTGGGCTGTCACATCCAGCTGAGTGCGCACTATCAGAGCAGCAGTGGAGACCAAGACAGAGATGTCACTGGAGACAAAGCAAAGAAGATGTTTTCACAGTCATTAACATGTCATTGTACTGCCACTGGAGTCCCTGGGTGGTACGAATGGTTAATGCACTCAGCTGCTAACCAAAAGGTTGGAGGTTCAAGCCTACCCGGAGGCACCTGGGAAGAATGCCTGGTGATCTGCTTCCAAAAAATCAGCTGTTGAACACCCTTTGGAGCATAGTTCTGCTCTGATGTATATGGGATCGCCAGCAGTCAGAATCAACTTGGCAGCAAGTGGTATGGCATGGCATGGCGTGGCGTGGCATGGCATGGCATGGTATGGTACGGTACTGGTATGGTATGGAATGGTGTGGTATGGTATGGTAGGTATGGTATGGTATGATAGGTATGATATGGTATTGGTATGGCATGGAATGGTGTGGTATGGTATGGTACTGCATACCCCGGCACAGCTGTGGACTTGCATTCTTATTGCAGTGAGAGTAAGACACATAAGGGGTAAGGCTGAAAAGCAACAGGTTTATTATTAGGAGGGTGGACATAAAACACATCTGAAGCACTGAGGAAAGCCAATCCCAGCTCCTAGATGAGGGGGACTCAAAGGACAGAACAACCTAGATTTTGTATTTAGATGAGTAGCAAGGAGCAGTAGAAAGTGTCCAGTCAGGGGAAGTGTGCTTAAATCCTGGTTTTGCTTTTTGTTACATGAGCAACAGATGCTGAGCAAGACACTATTTCCTGTGACTTAGTTTCTTCATCTCTCAAATAGTGGTAGAAGTAAGATCCTCATACAGCTGTGACTGGCATCAGATGAGACTGTGAAAGTGAGGCTATTGTTGTGAAAGTAGGAACTGCTCTTCATTAATCTTTTTGTTCAGTTCCTAGGGTAGTGCCTGGCACACAGCTGGCCATCAGGAATGAGTGAGTCCTGGCTTCAGTGAGCTCCTGTGAGTGGTTTCCCTTAGAAGCCACTCTCACCGCCATCCTCTAACACCAGTAATGCAGACTAAACTTGCTTTCCCTGTACAAACGGAACATCACATAAGAAGGGTGTTCCCAGAGAGGATGTAAATGACCTAACTGATGGTCAAGAATGATGCCACCACTGACCTGCATTTCCTGGTTCACATCTCTGGGTGAGGAGGGCTGGTGTCTGGACAATGTCCATGCCCCACAAGCATCATGCTGGTGCCATTTTTCACCCACTCATAAGAAGTGTTTCAGGCAAAGCATCCAAGTTGCCCCAGGCACTGGTTCCTTTGCAGAGAGAGTGGATGAGAAGAGACTGCACAATGGTCAGCACTGCAGGTGCTCCTGGCAAGCTGTGTGGCTTTTTTCACCATCTAGAAGGGCAGAGTGTGTCTTCCTGGGCCTCAGGGAGTCCTAAGCATCTAAATAACTGCCGCAAACACTTGGAGCCCTAAGGAGAGCCCAGACAGAGCTAAACCTTTCGTCCTCTCTCTTGCCCCTCAGTGTGGTCCTCGGATCAGCGGCACTGGCATACCTGGGGGCTTATCCTAAGACCTAACATGCAAATAGTTGGACTGTCATGAGGAGAAAACAGGATAAAGAAGGTCCAGAAACATCTGAAAGAAACTTACCAGTAACCAGTTGCCATGGAGTCAACTCCAACTCATGGCAACCCCATGTATATCAAAGTAGAACTGTGCTTCATAGGGTTTTTGGTGGCTGATTTTTGGGAAGTAGATTGCTGGGTCTTTTTTCCAAGGTGCCTCTGGGGAGACTTGAAACTTCCACCTTTTGGTTTGCAGCCAAGTACCTTAACTGTTTGCACCACCCAGGGATGTCGAGAGAAACTTAGCTAAGCAGAAAAAGTATGCAAATCTTCAGACTGAGAGGGTTCACTGAATTCCAGGTAATATTAATTTTTAAAGGGTACACACCTGGATATATTCTAGAGAAATTTCCGAACTCCAAGGAGAGAAAGGGCCTCTCATAAACTTAAAGTTTGAAAGAACACGTTGCATACAAAGTGAAAAGATGAGATTGGCATTGGATTTTCCACTGTAACATTGGAAGCTACAAAACAATGGAACAGTGATTACAAACTATTGAGGTAAAGAAATGTGAGCAAAAATCATAAATCTAACCAAAATATCATTCTAAAGTGAAAGCAAAAGAAAAAACATTCATGTATTCTGAGGAAATTACTCAAGAAAATACACCTACATAATGAAGATTAAATTAGAACGAAAACCTTAAGGTAAGGGAAAATGAAGGGTGGAAGAAACAGTGGAGAGAAATGAGTTTCAAATATGCTTTTTACAAGAAACATACCTGTAACACAGTAAAACTGAAATGGATACTAAAGGGATAAACGAAGGCATGCCAGGAAAATTTACATAACAGGAAGCTAAAGCGGCAATATGAATATCAATTAAAGGGGAATTCAAGGCCAAAGGTATTAAGCATAACAAGTAGAGATATTTTATGATTTTCAGTCTACCAAGAGGACATCACAGTTGTAAACTCTTGAGCGCTAAAGAACATAGCAGGAAAAGTATAAAGCTAGAACTGAAAATACAAGAAGAACTTCCCAATTCCCTCTCTTGGAATTTGACAAATCAAGTAGCCAAAAAATAAGTCATGATAAAAGATTATATTGTGTGTCTGTAACCGTCATGCTGTTGTTGTTGTTAGGTGCCATCGAGTTGGTTCCGATCCATAAGGACCCTACGTACAACAGAACAAAACACTGCCCTGTCCCATGCCATCCTCGCAATCGTTGTTATGCTTGAACCCATTGTTGCAGCCACTGTGTCAATCCATCTCATTGAGGGTCTTCCTCTTTTTCACTGACCCTCTACTTTACCAAGCATGATGTCCTTCTCCAGGGACTGATCCCACCTCATAACATGCCCAAAGTATATGAGATATAGTCTTGCCATCTTTGCTTCTAAGGAGCATTCTGGTTGTACTTCCAGGACAGATTTGTTCATTCTTCTGGTAGTCCATGGTATTATATTCAATATTCTTCACCAACACCATAATTCAAAAGCATCAATTCTTCGGTCTTCCTTATTCGTTGTCCAACTTTTACATGCATATGAGGCAACTGAAAATATCATGGCTTGGCTCAGGCACACCTTAGTTCTCAAAGTAACATGTTTGCCTTTTAACACTTTAAAGAGGTCTTTTGAAGCAGATTTGCCCAATGCAGTGCATCAGTTGATTTCTTGTTTGTTGCTTCCATGGATGTTGGTTGTGGATCCAAGTAAAACGAAATCCTTGACAACTTCAGTCTTTTCTCTGTTTATCATGATGTTGCTTACTGGTGCAGTTGTGAGGATTTTTGTTTTCTTTATGTTGAGCCATACTGAAGACTGTGTTCTTTGATCTTCATCAGTAAGTGCTTCAACTCCTCACTTCCAGCAAGCAAGGTTGTGTCATCTGCATTACGTAGGTTGTTAACGCATCTTCCTCCAATCTTGAAGCCCTGTGCTTCTTCATATAGTTCAGCTTCTCAAATTATTTGCTCAGCGTACAGATTGAATAGGTATGGTTAGAGCATATAACCCTGACACACGCCCTTCCTGACTTTAAACCACGCAGTATCCCCTTGTTTTGTTCCAACGACTGCCTCTTGATCTGTGTGCACGTTCCTCATGAACACAATTAAGTGTTCTGGAAATCCCATTCTTCTCAATGTTATCCATAATTTGTTACGATCCACACAGTTGAATGTCTTTGCATAGTCAATAAAACATGAGTAAAACATCTTTCTGGTATTCTTCGCTTTCAGCCAGGATCCATCTGACATCAGCAATGATATCCCTGTTTCCATATCCTCTTCTGAATCTACTTGAACTTCTAGCAGTTCCCTGTCGATATGCTGCTGCAGCTGCTTTTGAAAGATGTTTGGCAAAATTTTACATACATATGATATATATGATATTGTTCTACAATTTCTGCATTCAGTTGGATCACCTTTCTTGGGAATAGGTATAAATATGGATCTCTTCCAGTTGGTTGGCCAGGTAGCTGTCTTCCAAATTTCTTAGCATAGACGAGTGAGCACTTCCAGTGCTGCATCCTTTTGTTGAAACATCTCAGTTGATATTCCGTCAATTCCTGGAGACTTGTTTTTCTCCAGTGCCTTCAATGAAGCTTGGACTTCTTTCTTCAGTACCGTTGGTTCCTGATCATATGCTACCTACTGAAATGGTTGAATGTTGACCAGTTCTTTTTGGTATAATGACTCTGTGTAATCCTTCCATCTTCTTTTGATGCTTCCTGTGTTAATATTTTCCCTGTAGAATCCTTCACTATTGCAACTCGAGGCTTGAATTTTTTCTTCACTTCTTTCAACTTGAGAAATGCCAAGTGTGTTCTTGCCTTTTGGTTTTCTATCTCCAGCTCTTTGCACATGTCATTATGATACTTTACTTTGTCTTCTCGAGCAGCCCTTTGAAATCTTCTGTTCAGTTCTTTTACTTCATCATTTCTTCCTTTTGCTTTAGCTACTCTATGCTCAAGGGCAAGTTTCAGAGTCTCTTCTGATATCCATTTTGGTCTTTTCTTTCTTTCCTATCTGTTTAATGACGTCTTGCTTTCTTCATGTATGATGTCCTTGATGTCATTCCACAACTCGTCTGGTCTTCAGTCATTATTATTTATTTATTTATAAGATACATGTAAGATATCAGAGGAAAATATATAGTCTTAAAAGGTTTTATTATTTTTAAAAAGTCTAAAAATATTGTGTGTAGTTTCAGAAAATAAAATTAATTAAGAGAAAGTAGAAGGGAATTAATAAAGATAAAACTTAGATTAATTATACAGGAGGGGAAAAAAAGCACCAAAAGAATGGAAATAATAAGAAAAATCAAACTTTGATTCTTTCAAAAACCAATACAATAGCTGAATCCCCTGGCAAGCTGAATTAAGAAAAAAAGGAAAACCAAAAATACAACTCAGGAATTGAGATGTAGATTTAACGATAAATACAGAGAGATTAAATGAATTACCAGAGCACAGTATAAGAAACTTTACGGTAATAAATTTAGAAATATAGAAAAAAAGTTGATTTTTCTGATAAAATGTAAATTTCAAGAATTAACTGAAGAAGATATAAGAGATCCAAGCAGATCAATAACTATAGAATAAATTGGAAAAGTTAAAGAAATGACATTTTAAAAGAAACCAGATCTAGATTATTTAACCACTGACTAACTTTCAAAGGGAGACCTTGGGTGGTGCAAACAATTAAGGTGCTTGGCTGCTAACAAAAAGTTTGAAGGTTAGAGTCTAGCCAGAGGAACTTTGGAAGAAAGGCCTGGCAATCTACTTCTGAAAAATCAGCCACTGAAACCCCTATGGTAGCACAGTTCTACTCTGACATACTCAATAGCAACTGGTTAACTTTCAAAGAACAGGTAATCAATTATTAGTAGTCATCATTCAAATTATTACAAACCAAAGTATGCAAAACTCAATCTGTTCATTTTTAAAAACTTGCACAACTCAAACATAACGAACGTAACAAAAAAATCTTAGAAATCAATTTTGCTTATGATGTAGATGCAAAAATTCTAATAAAATTTCTAGCAAATTGAATCCAACAGGTTTACAAACAGCAACATACCAGGAAAGTATATTACTAACATCAAGAGAAGGCAGGATTTTGCTCTCGATAGTCTTATTCAAAATTGGGGAGGTTCTAACTAATGCAAAGATGCAGAAAAGCAAAATAAATTTTATAAATACTCCACAATTATCTTTATTTACAGATATTATTACATAACTAAAAAATCCAATGGCTCTACTTAAAAAAAAAATAGAATAAAAGAATTTGGTAACTTGACTAGTTACAGTTAAATATATAATAAATAGTAGCTTTTCTCTGTTCCACCAACATCTAGACAGAAATAAGGGGGTAAAAATCTCATTCACAATAGCTACAAAATTGTAAAATATTTGTGAATAAATTTACCAAGAAGGGTACAGTAGCAATAAGAAAACATAACTGTAACATTTTATGGAAGGGCATAGAACTACACATCTGAGTTAATGGAAAGATATACCATGTTTCTGGAAAGAAATAATTAACAAAAATGTAATGTTTGCAAATTAATATATAAATGTAATGCTACTCCATTGCACATCACAGTGGCTTTTATTTTTTACTTAGACAAAATGATTTCAAAATTCTCATGGAAGAATAAATACTTGAGAATTCCCAAGATATTTTTTGAGAAAAGAATAACCCTATCAGATGTTGCAACTTACTGTAAAACTATTGTTTTGCTCAGTGATAATTACAAGGTTCTTGATAAATTGTTCTTTTCTTTTTCTCATTGTTCCTGCCATTTCTCTTTATTTACATTAAGCATTTTAGCTTTTACCTGTCCTGGGTGTTGTCAGATGATAAAAAAACCAAAACCCAAACTTCTTGCCGTCAAGTCGATTCCAACTCATAGCGACCCTCTAGGACAGAGTACAACCTCCCCCATAGAGTTTCCAAGGAGCAGCTGGTGGATTCGAACCGCCAACCTTTTGGTTAGCAGCTGAGCTCTTAACCACTGCGCCACCATTGTCAGACGATAAGCCCACTTAAATCCTTTCTGGAGGCACGTGAAGTAACTAACACCTGAGTGTCACTTCCATTTCATGCTGCAGACTACATGAACATGCCACACATTCACCTCCCTCAGGGTCATGGAGACCCACATACAACGAGCATCCAATGGTGCACGTACCTGGAAATGGAAAATCCCTGCATACTGGTGTGAAAAGCTTTGGTCTCTAGGCAGGATCTTCTGCAGACACTGTGGGTTCTGTGTCAAGAAGCCAAGCGCTGCCAGGAGCCAGCAGTCTCCTGTGAGGGGATAAACAATAAGAGGCCAACACACTTGGAAGCCCCACCACATGCATTCACACATCTTTGCCCCAGAGCATATTTCCTCCTTTTGAATAATGCATTTTTTTTTTTCCTCCGAGAGAGGAGAACTGGGGGAAGAATGCACTGAGGCCAGTTCCAAGCACACTAAAGAAGGGCAGGCAGTGGTGATAGTGGTGCTGGTGGTGGTGTCATAGTGATGGTGATGGTGGTGGTGAGTGACGGTGGTGGTTGTGGTGATGGTTGTGGTATCATGGTGGTGGTGATGGTGGTGGTGAGGATAGCATGATAGTGGTGATGATGGCAGTGGTGGTAATAGTGTGTTGGTGATGGTGTGGTGGTGAGAGTGGTAATGTGGTGGTGATGGGGTTATTAATGTGGTGATGGTGGTGGTGATGGGGTTATTGATGATGGTAATGGTGGTGATGGTGACGACGATGGTGATGTGATGGTGGTAGTGGTTTTGGTGGTGGTGATGCTGTAGGGAGGTAGCCCGAGAACTGCAGCCTGGCTTTGGAGGAACTAGCAGGCCAACTTTCCCTCCAACTCTCAGTTGTCCAGTGCTAAAGTGACAAATAATTTTGCTGCTGGAATTGGTAGCAATGGTGCTTTTTTGAGTTGCAGAAAACAGATTTGTGTTTTTTCTGCTAATATTTGCTTAGCCCCTCCCATGCCAAGGCCTCTCTAGCCCACACAGAAGTTCTCTCCTCTTGCCCCATAAGTGTCTCCCTGGATGTCATTAAAGAACCCTTTTGTGTTATGCTCATCCCTTTCCCCTGAGTGTTCCCTCCTTCAACACAGTGAGTTATTTTAATGCCTTTACATGCCAGGCAGTGTGCTTGGGTCAGAAGCTACAAAGATGCCCTCAAAGAGGTGCTTTCTCCAGTTAGATGAAACCCTATGAGGGGGATTATTGGCTGGTGGGGGTCTTTCCCCAACACTGAAAACATGCCAAGTAGGTTTCTGACAATTTGACCCAAGACACAGTGAGACCACCAGGTGAAGTCCAAGCACAGGTTTAATCCATAAACTGATGCTTGAAGCCCTAGAGTCTGTTGTCTGAAGAATTACCATCAACTTTTCCTGTCTCCCACCTCCCTGTCCACTTTCCCCTCTCCCCCTGTTCCAGCCCCTCCTCTTCTAGGCTTCCTTAGCTCAAGGGTTTCTCTTGGTCATCCCCAAGGAGACTCCTGTTAAGGCAGGCTGTCGTCTTTCCCTGCCCACATCCCTCAGCTCTTTAGCAACCGTAGCTGCCTGTGGGGTGGGTGGGTTGGGTGGGAGTCAAACAGCCCTGGTTTCAAATCCAACTCTGTCACTTATTGATTATGTGACATCGAGTAAATTGTATTAACTTATGGACCTTCAGTTTCTGCATATATAAAATACAGATAAGGAGCCCTGGTGGCACAACAGTTAAGTGATTGGCTGCTAACCGAAAAATAGGCAGTTTGAACCCACCCAGCGGCTCCTCAGGAGAAAGACCTGGCTATCTGCTTCCATAAAGATTATTTCCATAAAGATTACAGCCAAGAAAACCCTATAGGGCAGTTCCACTCTGTCACATGGGGTCACTATAAGTCGAAATCAATTCGATGGCACCTAACAACAACAATAAAATGGAGATGTTGTAAGGCGTAAACTGCACATGCAAATTATCTAGCACAATCATTCCAAAAACTTAATTAAAATTTCTCCGTTCTCCTGCCTCCCTTTCCTTTCTATCTTCCAGCAACTGATGCTTCCACCTACTCAGAGTGGGTGGCCACTTTCTACAATAGTTCCTCACCTACTGCAGAGTAGGTAGGAGTCTGGGCACGAGAAGGCTGGCTTGCAGCCTGCAGACCTGGGAGTGAGCAGTCACCCACAGCAACATTGAGGAGCCAGCCTTGCCTCTTCAGAAGCTAGAGCAGAAACCTGGGAATCTGGGTGGGCACCCTCACCCCTCCTTATCCAGTGGGGTGACTTAGGGCGCCTGCCCTGATCCAGGGCTGGGAGGGAAGATTTCTCATTCTCACCTGCTTGTCCCTGTTGGATGTCAAATCTGCTTGCACCTTCCAGGATAAAGTAAGGGGGACCACTTGATGAATCCATTTCCTTACAAAAGAGGGAGAAAAGCCATGAGTACCTTTTATTCCTTTATGTCTCTGTGTAGAGCCTAAGACGTCATTTTACTTTGTCTTTGAGGGGTAGAGGTTAATTCTTAAAAAGGTGCTTAAAATGTCAGTTAGGAATATTCCCTTCAGTGTTCAGATTCAACTGCTATCAGGAGATGGCAGGTGTCAAAGGGGTGTGTTGGCAACTGACAAGTCAGGCAATAAACATATCAGCAAATTGGATGAAGAGATAACATAAATAAGGACTCTGTATCCTTACATCAAACAGTTAGATATCCCAGTCCCCCAATAAGCCAGTTTTTTTTTTTTACTAAGAGATTATAAACCAAAAAAAAAAAAAAAAAAAAAAGACAACTAGGATATCTTTATTACAGGAAATTCTTATAAGCATAATAAAACACAATAGATTTTCTTCTGAAATGTAATCTCTCAGGAACCAGCCTAGGCATTCTAGATTCCAGGTGCAACTCCAGACATGTGCAGGTACAAGATACTGCATGACTCAGATCTTTGCTCATTCTCTGGCTTACTCACAGACTGATTCTGGAAGACCCCAAGCCCCTTGTCCCCAGGTGCTGTTGCCAAGTGCCTAGTCATCACACCTGCCAACCATAGAAAAGGGGTAGCTAGTGGATTCTGGAGTACTACAACATCAAGGAGAATTTGGGGAACTCTCAAAAGACATAATGTTTGTGAGAGTTACTGAAGAGGATCCCAAGGCACATGTATGGGTGACTTTGGGGGTACACTAGGCCGAAAGTCTGGCTCCTGCTCCAGCCCGAGCCAATCCTGTAGATTTGGCCCCTACCAGGAGCCCCCAGGACTGTCCTCTGAGTCCTCTTGGTGTGTCCTTTCTGTGTGGCTCTTCCTGGCTTTCTGTTGTAGAAGTTTGCATAATTTGGTAATTGTTCTTGTATCATTTCTTTTCACACTGACAAATAAATCTCCAGAGAGCAGGGCTGCAAAGTGGAAATGAATTCATTTGTTCAACAGCCGTTAATGTAAGGGGTCACATGCCTTGTGAAAATCTGCCAGCCCTTCTTAGACTGTGAGAGTTTCCTAGTGGGGACCAGTTAAGAGGACAAATAAAGGCATGCATGTCTGCAAACACATGGGCCCCAGCTGAAAGCTCCTCTCGCTGCCTTCTTTACAGAGAATTGACCCTGAAATATGGCTGGGGAGGTGCTCTCAGGGCAGCCCTAGGCCCTCTGGTGAGAGGTAATGGGAGGCATCATGCCTGTCCCTCTGCCATAGCCATGGCCAGACAAAACTTGGGCTCTCTCCCACCACAAGCAAACCATGAAGATGTCCTGAGGGGCTTCAGCTGTGGTGATTAAGTCATGGAAGGAGCTATTTCCCAGTTTTAAAACAACTTGTGCCCTTCTATGGCCTCTAATTGCCTCTTTCCTTCTGCTGGAAAAAGGAACCAAAGGTCTGAAAGGAGGACCTGCTCTTAGTGAGCAGGGAGCATAAGATCCTCCACTCACCACAATCAAAGAAGAGGGTGGAGGCTATTGGGTATTTTACACTGGGAGCAAACACAACTTTGCTCATTTTCCTGGCCCACAGGTGCAGCTATTCTTTGCTTTTCTCCTGCTGGTTGCCCTTTAGTCATTGGCAGAGGAGGGGAGGGTGTGCCCCAAGAGTAAGTTCAGACAGACCTGGTATGAAATTCTGCTCTGACATTTCTCCCTGGGTGACCCTGAGCAATTCCTTTTACTTGGCTGAACCTGATTCCTCATGTGTAAAATGATAAAGCTATCAAAACAATGGCTGCCATTTGCAGAACGCCTAGTGAGAGCCATGCACTTTATTCATGGATTATCTCCCTCAGGCCTCCCTACAGCCCTGCAAAGCAGGATGATTCCTTCCATTTACAAATGAGGAAGGACGTGAAATACTTAGCACAATGTCTGACAGAGTACATGTTCAATAAATATTGATTTCCTTCTTTGGTAAAATTTGCAAAATTAAACAGGTCATACTCATAAATGAAGGAGAAAACAGCTTTGCGAGGCCAAACATGGCTGCTGTCACACTTTCCATTAGTTCACTGCTGTTTCTATTAGTTTACTGCTCTTGTTATGTGACCTTGCTGAGGCAGTTTAATGTAACTCCCTGGCTGTAGCCACTTTCATCCTTGACCACTATAAAACCTCTGCACTACTGCTGCTGGGCACAGATATCTGCTTTGGTCCTGCTGCCACCAGGGACCACCACCTCATACGTAAGTCTCCCTAATAAAACTACTTCACTGCTACACTGGAATTTCCTGCCTCTTTCTTCTGTCTCTTGGCACCCTCCAATTTCAGAGGCAAATTTCACGTTGTTAACAAAAAGATCAGCAGTTTGAATCCACCAGCCACTCCTTGGAAACCCTATGGGGCAGTTCTACTCTGTCCTATATGGTCAGTATGAGTTGGAATCGACTCGACAGCAATGGGTTTGGTTTTTTTGGTTTTAATTCTTGCCTAGATAATTGGTGAGCGAGCCAGGGGACCAAGGAAATGGTGAATGGGAGTGAGGTATCTAGGGAGGAAATCTCAGGTTGGTCAGTGACCTCCATGTGGGGAGGTCTGGCCCGTATGCTTGATGCATGAAGTCCACTGCAGCATAGCACAGTTGTAAAAAAAACATGCACCTTCATAAGTGTGGAAAGGAAGCTAGGAGAGCAGTAGCAGCTGTGGCATGGCCATTTCCCTGGGTGGTTTGGCTGGCCACTGACGCCCAGCTAGCTGCTGAAGCCCACGTAAGAACTCTGCAGGAAGAGCTGCAGTTAGAAAGATAAGTAGCCACATCCAAGAGCAAGACAAGCAGTTAGCCTGCCTACAGGTTTGTAAAGATGGGGAGATAGAAAGTGCCAAAGGCAAGGAGTAGGACAGTGTTAATGAGAGGTGACTGATGAAAACATGGAATTCATGGGAGAATGGATAGGGTAGTGAATTGGATGTGGAAGTGATAGTGGAGAAGTATGAGGGTGTAGAGAAGCCCTCCAGCATGGCCGCTCATTACTCGTAAGGTGAAAGCTACCCAGAAACCTGATGACCCCAGACAAGAAATCCTACCAGCAAATTCCATAACAGTGTGGGAATACACCCACTGAGCTGACTGAGTTGTGTCAGAAATTCCAGCAGAAAGAGAAGGAAACTATTACAGCTTGGTTACTACATCTGTGGGATATTGGGGGCGGGAGATGGCATCTCTTTAAATGGAGCTAAGGCAGAGAAAATGAACAGCATAACCACACACCCCACCTTCTGGCAGCATTTACACACAGCCCGGAACACAGAGGGCATACACGCCCTCATGAATTGGATCATCTTGTGCTATAGAAGGGCATGGCCAAATGAGGGGGATCTTCCCGGCACAGCTGGGAAATGGTCTTCTGTAGAGGAGTTACAGCAGTTAATTTGGGAGTCAGGTATGCTCCATGCCATTTATGCTGAGCACTTACTGGGGCCAGACAATGAAGTTTTTACTGCAGGAATAAAAGCAAGAATCCTGCAGGCAGCTCCTCCCTCCTGGTACAACACCCTGGTGGCTATTGTTAGTCTTGTAGTAGGCCAGACAGTGTACCAGGTAGGACAAGCCATAGCTGATTTAGGTGAAAACAAGAAGGCTAGAGAGAAGGGGGTGCAACTCGTGGGAAGACTGAAAAACCTGCAAGATGACCTTCCAAGGGCCCCTTAAAAGTGACCCAAAGCCAGATGTGGGTGGACTTAGTGGCTGCTGGAATGGCAATGCACAAGATAGATAAGCAATCAATGTGGTTCGGCTAGTCTTGAGAAGAAATCTGAAGTTGGAGCAACAATATAGCCCTCTGCATCCTACTGCCCCTCTTGAGGAAGTGCCCCTTGCCACGAGGTGGACCCCGCCCATCCCTAGGGACTAGGGGTGGTGCCAAAGTCACCCAAGGTTCAGGACCCTGCTGGAAAATCAGAGGCCCCATGTAGAGGTCACAATACATTGGCCGAGAACAAACAAGCAGCAGGTGCTAGCTCTGGTTGATACAGGGGCAGAGTGCACCCTTGTCTTTGGAAACACTGAGTGGTTTCAAGGATCCCCCTTGGCAATTGATGGTTACAGTGGACAGTCCACCCCCCTAAACCAGGTACTTCTCACCCTACAAGAAGGACACACTCTCCCTAAACTATATCAAGTTTATATTTCCACTATACTGGAATACATTCTAAGGATGGATGTACTCATGGGACTGATCTTGACCACGTCTGTGGGAGAATTCTGCCTTCGAGTGAGAGTGTTAAAGGCAATCCTGAGGGAGAATGTGGCATGGGAACCAGTAAACCTGGCCCCACCATGAAGGGTGGTAGACATCAAGTAATATAAGTTGCCCAGAGGGCGTAAGGAGATCAGTAAACTATTTTAAAATTAAAAAGAATAAGTATCCTCCAGGAGGCCCAAAGTGGTATTAATAACCTTGTGTGGCCTATGAAGAAAGTAGATGGGTCCTAGCATATGAAAGTGGACAACTGATCCCTCCCATACATGCTGCAGTCCCGAACGTAACTTCCTTGTTAGAAACCCCTAGTAGGGACCTGAGCACGTATCATGCTATGTTAGATCTGACTGATGCGTTCTTTAGTATCCCTCTAACCTCATCCACCCAAGACCAGTTTCCTTCACCTGGAAGGGGTAACAATGGACATTCCAAGGGGATATTCAAGATATCCCCCAAGGATATCTACATAGTCCCACTATTTGCCACGGTATGGTAGCTAGAAATCTAACTCTTTTCCCCTTCCCCACTGCTTTCCCTTGGTTTCATTACAGTGTTGACATCATGTTGTTGTTGTTGTTAGGTGTGCCGTCGAGTCACTCCTGACTCATAGCAACCCTACGTACAACAAAACGAAACACTTCTCGGTCCTGCGCCATTCCCACAATCTTTGTTACGCTTGAGCCAATTGTTGCTGCCACTGTGTCAATCCATTCATTGAGGGTC